TTTTCTGTAAACTGATTTTGGATTGGTGCCTATCCCAGAGAGGATGCTACATAAGACCCTATACATAACTTTTGAAAACAATCTGTTGTCATAAACATTGTTTTGGGGTGCCCACTATTTAAGGGGTGTGAATTGAGTATTGTCAAGTTTAAGGGCCCCCACTATAAAGTATCAAAATCATAAAAGTCAAGGTCACCCACTGGGGAGCTGTTTATTTAACCATCAGACACGGAGAAAGATTAGAAAAGGGAAAATTCCTAATAAGTTGGTGGGAGTGTAGATTGGAACAGAGTCTAAAATTGGAAGGCAAATTGGCAATATCTATATCAAAAGCACTAAAATGTGCATATCCATTAATGAGAAATCCCACGTCTACGAAAGAGGGGCACAGGCAACAAAACCATTAAACCAGATAATAGGACTTTTCTGAAGACGTATGGGCAAGAAAGCCAACTACACCATCCTCCCTCCTCTTTCCAGACCTAGAGTCTGAAAGTCACACTGGCAAAAGCTGGGAACAAAAAGTTGATTTGGCATGGGCAGCTTGACCTCGGGGACCCTACCAAGCACAGTTGAGCGTCATTTCACAGAAATAGAGTTCCAAGAACTGTAAAAGCCAACTTACAGCCCAGCCCCTTGTACGGCTCAGCAGATCCTAGGGAGAATGAGGTAAAAGCAAGAGCTCTTCAGTTGTCTTGTAACATGATAGAGACAGACTCCAAATGAGTCGGGCAAACTGCTCAGCGATGCAGTGATTTTCACTTTCCATTACAACAAAAGGGACATGGTTGTTTTAAATTGATAAACTCAACTAGTCTGCGCATCAGGGACTGCTTTCTCTTGAACAGAAAAGTTACAGAGACAGTGCAGAGTTCACACAGACCCTACACTCAGTTTGTCCAAGGTTAACATCTTAGGTTACTATGGTACATTTGTCACAACTAAGGAACCAACACTGATACGTTGCTATTAACTGCACACTTTATTCCTATTTCACTAGTCTTTCCCTAATGTCCTCTTTCTGTTCCAGGAACCTATCCAAGAGATCCCATTACCCATTTAGTCACCATGTCTCACAATGTCTTCGTAGCCTCTGGTCTGTAACAGTTTCTCAGACTTTCTTTGTTTTTGATGACCTGACAGCTTTGAAGACAATTAGTCGGGTATTTTTAAGAATGTTCCCACCCCCCCCCACCGCACCACCTTGGGGACAAAACCTTGCCTAATGTTTTTCTCTGATTACAGAGAAGTTAGGGATTGGGGGGGGGGAGGACAACAAAGGTGAAGTGATAATTTCTTGACATCGTTATCACGGGTACATCTTGTCAACTTCATATCACAGATGCTGTTAGCTTTGACCACCTGGCCAAGGTAGTGTTTGCCAGGTTTTCCACCATAAACTTCCTTTTCCACCCCCTTTCCACACTGCTCTTTGGAAGTAAGTCATTAAGTGCAGCCACTCAAGGGGTGGGGAGTTAAACTCCCACTCCTTGAATGGATGAATATCTACATAAATTATTTAGAATTCTTCCGTATGGGAAATTTGTCTCTACTCTCATTTATTTATTTGAGCATTTATTTATATCAGTATGGATTCACAGACATGTATTTTATATTTGGAGTTATATCCCAATGCTATGTTATTTATTTGTTGTTCATATTGTCCCCGCTTTGGCCACTGGGAGCAAATTCAGGTTGGCTCTGGTAGGCTTTTTACATCCTTGTTTTCTGAACACTTCCTTACTTTCTGCTTCTCCATATTTTTATTAGTGAAATGCCTTACTTAAGAAAAGGGTTGTGATGGGATGAATTTTGTGTTCCCCCTCCAACATACAAAAAAAAATTCACATTAAAGTCCTGGTTACCAGTACCTCAGATGTGATGTTATTTGGGAATAGAGTCATTGGAGATGTAATTAGTTAAGATTAGATCATACTGGGCTTCCCACGTGGCGCAGTGGTTGAGAGTCCGCCTGCCGATGCAGGGGACGCGGGTTCGTGCCCCGGTCCGGGAAGATCCCACATGCCGCGGAGCGGCTGGTCCCGTGAGCCATGGCCGCTGAACCTGCGCGTCCGGAGCCTGTGCTCCACAACGGGAGAGGCCACAACAGTGAGAGGCCCGCGTACCACAGAAAAAAAAAGATTAGATCATACTGAATAGGGTAGTCCCCTAATCCAGTATAACTGATGTCCTTCTAAAAAAGGGAAATTTGGACACGGCCACAGGAAGAACAAAGTGCAGCACCCAGTGAAGATGAAGACAGATCACAGTGATGCTTCTAACAAATATTCAAAAGGGTATACTGGAAAACAGAGGCACAATCTCCGTGTGGCAGTACTGAGCATCATATTTGGACGTGAACAAGGTTTCGGGGTCAGTGTTTTCAGATGCTTCATTTTCCCTGCAGAGTTTCCAGCCACCTGCAGCTTGGTTCAGAGCACTACTTGCCAAGCACACCTGCAAGTACGAGCAACAACCACCCATCTAGTATAATCATCATCTTCCACATGCTAAGTACCAGCTCTGTGAAAGCCAAGCGCTTCCCAGGTGCCCCTCACAGCAATCCTGCGGGCCAGACAGGTGATTCCCTGCATCACAGAGGACCCAGCCAGATCGTGTCAGGTCATCATTTGTGGTCCCTGTTTAATGACTCGCTTTGTCCCACTTCCACCTTCCCTAAGTCACGTCCACAAGTGGCCCGATGGCTTAGAACGGAACCGACTACATCACTGTCAGCTATACGAATATTATACAATCATCCAGCATTTAGGACCCTTAGTACAATTTTACACACTACAGGATACTAAGCTTTCAGACGAAGGAACTATAGTCCCCGGGAAAGAGAAAGTGACTTGTTCTTAGAGTTAAGACATGGAAGAGGCAGGCTGAAATCTGCTCTGTCTTCTCACTCCACATCCAGTAATCTTTACCGAGGTGAAATCTAAGCTCCCGCATGCGTAGAGGCAGAAACTTTTTTTTTCCCCTCAGTCAACTGGGAGAAGAGGAACTGGATGTGACATACTGGGATCTGAAGTTTTCGTTTGGAAATTATTTTCATTACAAAAGTTCCAGTTCATCTGCATTTTTATTCCTATATTAAAAAATCAAATGAAGTCATTAGGCTTAGGCCAGCTCATAAAGTCTCTCGCCTGAGTATGCATTCCTCTTGCAACCTCTAGAGCTCTACTCTAATCCTTCAAATTATTAAATAATTACTGTGTTTCCCTTGGGGTCGCGTTTGGCAACAAAATACTGGCCTAAATGAACCAGTGATGTGACCCAGTGAATAACACTTATGTTCTTAACTTCTTAGAAGCAAAAGGATACGAAATACTTCCGAGGTACAAACTGGGAGTAAAGTGAAGGGTTTTCTGTGGGGTGTGGAGGGTGAGGGGAGCAGAATGACAAAGGAACATGAGAATCTGGGAATTATTCCAATAATGAGGGTCATCCCCTCCCCCATCAACCCTGCACATCAGTAAGTCTCCACTCCAAACCCAGTTTTCTCCCATTTCAGGAGTGGTTACGGCCACAAGGAGAAAACCAAGCATATGGCTCTGCCCTTCTGGACATTTCTACAATGCTGGCTGGGCTGCTTTGGAAAATCCCATTTTATCTCCTACAGCTATATGACCTCAAGTTGTCATTTCCAATAAAGTATGCTTCCACTGATTTTTATGAACATAGACAAAAGCTGCTACAACCTTTTTGGCCCCCAAATCTTTCAAGCCAACTGTAGTTGCTATGTAGGGTTATTTGTTTCTAAGGCAACAGCCCATATCTAAGTACTAATGGCCTGTCCTTTTGCCAGGCAACAAACAGCCTTGTGATGCAACTGCACCTGTCTCGGCTACGTGTTACTATGGAGATGCTGCAGTTGCTATGGCTACCATCACGCTAATCGCCTAGCGAAGGCAGACATACAGCAGTCTTCTCAGAGAGCCCAGCTGTTCCTCCCCGTCTCTTGCTGAAGACTGATTGTCTAAGCCCTGTGATGGAATGCTTCTCAACTGAGATGTACAAGAACTTCATTAATGCTGTTTCAGAGGATCACTTTGTGCTCCCTTCTGCAGAACAAACACCAGGCTAGGGAAAGAATCTGCAATGACACAGACTGTGAAACTACCGACATCTATGAATTCACGCCTTTCCTCACTGACGTAAACTTGTAGTCCAAGGATCATTCTCTTAACTGACTGGTAACAATAGAAACATCTCTATACGTTAAAGAAAAAAAATTTTTTTTGTAGAGTTGAGGGATAGATTTCAAACCCAAACACTATGCAAGAGAAAATCAATTTTAAAAATTGGTTCTGTTTTATAGGGCTATTTTTTTAGCCAAAATACTAAAAATAGTAACCTATTTTTTTTTGAGTGACAGGTTGCATATCCTCCCCTCCAATTCTATCTCTGTAAAAATGGCACCCATGACCTCACTGTCTCAAAGCGAATGGGCACGTGAGGGGCAATCCTAGCCTCTACTGCTCTTTGCAGTTTTCCTTGGAGAGGCAAACACCAAGTAACCACAACGAAACGATCGCTCTGGAGCACCGCCTACATGGAGACGGCGAGCGGCAACAACGCTGTGCATCCTTCAGTGAAACACCTGGAGACACTCTGGCTCGGAGGATGGGAGGTTGCAATCGCTTACCCGACGCGCTCCTGGACTCTCATCCCTGCAAACGGCCACACTCTGAGATGTTAAAGCTGACAACTTTCCTTTGTAAATGTTTCTACCCAGGAAGACATTATTTCACCCACCATGAAGCCTTCTGGAAGGAGACACATTCGTCCCAAGCAGCAGAAGCGGTAAGGTTTGCCGAAAAAACAACTGGATATGCCTCCAAGAATACTTAACTTCTTTCTCATTTATCTACAGTTATTTTTCAAATCATACAGCCTATTAAATTAGTTTCAGTGCCTGTCTCTGCCAAAATAATGCAACTTCAGTAGACAACAAACAAACCAACCCCAAAACAAAAGAAGTCTGAATGGCTTACCTTTGATATGCCTGAGGAGAGGCGGGAGGTGTATTGAACACATTCGAGTGTGGGTGATAAGGTGTCTTTTTCAAAGCCTGAATTAGATTTTGTCTATACTCTGGGTCTATGCACCACAATGACCCTTTCCCGATACTCTGCAAAGAACAATAAAATACAGAAGTGATTAATATAGAGACAGTACCTACCGTGCAGTAAGTAGATGTATAACTCTCATCACAGTTACTTATTTTGAAAAGCCTCTCACTTCTTTGTTAACTGTCTGCCAGCCTTAACTACTGTACTATTGTCCTCTGACAAAGGACCACCAGGCAATGCGCTTCTGTGCACACACGTTAAGTTTAACAAAATGAGTATGTTATTTCCAGGTGATGTTGCTACAATAATATTGTTAATTTTCATATCCTACTGACCAAAACCCTCAGTTCCCTTATGATTTTTCAGTGTCAACTTTGAAAAACATATGTATCCCCTTTAAAAAGTGAGTTTTAAATTTGTCAGGTATCAAGGGTTGAGAGAAAAAGAGGGCAGAGACACCCTCAAAACTCTGTCTCTGCTTTAAAAATTCGAGGGTTATGTTTTCAAACCATATTACGTCGGTGCCACTTTAAAAAAACAGAAAAGTAATCCACTTGTTTTGTCCTGTCCTAATGTCCAAAAGAATGACATTATTTAAGCTTCCAATGGAATTCTGTAATGACCTTCCCAAAGAAACAAAAGAACTCAGGCAGCAGTGGTAAACCTTAGCCAGAATCCAGTACTTATTTTTTGATATCCTCCATTCTGGATTTTGCTCCAGACCTGAATCTTCAGAAGTCAGACACTTTTAAAATACAAATTTTATCAAACTGGTTCCATGGAAAGAGGGAGACTTGCTCAGAGGCCCACTTTCAGTTGGACGCTTTCGTTCTGGGCACACAGCATTTTATAAAACAAACGCAAGATCTGCCTCTGAGGCCCGCTGGATCTGGCGGCAGGCTGATATGATGGGCAGTCACTGTTCTGACTGCTCGCTTTCAAGTGACCGAATGTACCCGAGCTGCTTGATAAGGTCATTTGTAAACATTTACTGATTTGGAGAGAAAAGAAGTCAAATTATATAAACCCACACCCACCCCATGCTTCCAGCCAACGACTCTCTAATTTTCACAACTATTATACTACAGGAAGATTTAGAAAGCAAACAAGAAAATCATTTAACTATTATGCAGGGGGCAAAGTCCAAGAAAATCCCCTAGAAGGAGAACTAAAAATAAATTATTCCTAAAATCTTTAAAGTTTTAAAAATTTGTATTTCAGTCATCAGTTTACCAGATAGTTTACTTACAAACTTATTCACAGAACCCCTTAAAATTCTTCACTATCAACACCACCAGAGCACTCAGCACAGGGAACTGCTCAAAGCCAAGATCCGGGGCTAGAGCCTCTGCTCCCCCTCCCCCATTTCTCCCCCCACCCGCCCCGCAAGTGCAGGCCTGACCCCAAACACAGTCCCAGTCAGGCCAACCTGCCTGGGCTAAACACCAAAGCTCCCAGTTTAACCACCCGGATGTTTAAAGAAATGAAACATTTCAATTTTAGAAAACTCAACACCCTTACGTGGTCTTTCCTTCCACGCGTACATTTTCAAGCCCAGAAGGGGGACTAATGACACTTTCCGGGTAAAGCAGGCAGGCCACCAATGATCAGCCCTGGACCTTCCATTCTGTCCTTTGGAAAAAAGCTGTGCGGCACGCTTTTTAGAAGAAAGCAAAAGCCAAGATGCTGAGAGGCGTGGAGGAAGACCAGTAACTACCAGATCTGGATAACGTAAAGCAAACCACAAAAGCCAGTCACCTGCTCGGCAGCACGGGTCCTGGCCTGAGTCCATCAAAGGCTCCCTGTCGAGCCCTGTGCCAGTGGGACTCCCTTTCCAATCCCCTTGAAGACAAGGCTCCCAACTAGCTAGTTGGAGGGTCAGGGCCCATGTGCAACCCACAGATTTCTGCAATGAGACTACCCTGGCTCTGGGAACCACACGGGGCTTCTGTTTTCATCAAGGTGGCTTTCAGGGTAGGGCCGTTTAATCTTACAGGGAATAAAAATATGACAAACAAATGAAGGGAAATAACAATAAGCCAAGAAGGCGGTTTCTCCTAATCCTTAGCACCTTGTTTATTATACTACACTACTATTTACCAGAAGAAAAAGGGGGAAACCCCGCAGGATTGGGGTGCGGGGAGGATCGCAAGGTAAGTGATCCAGGTACAAGAGGCAGGCCGAGCTACAGTAAGAACGGGAGTTCTAAAGCCAGACAGATGTTTCCTGTGTGGCCTTGGGCAAATCAGGGTCCCCTAGAAAGTCCAGGCTTCCTCAGTGGCAAAATAAAGACCCCCTTAGAGACAGGTGTGCGGTACAGCATGACAGGAAACACCTAGAACAGTGGAGAATGTACAGGCATTCGATAAATGGCGGAGGGCAGAGGGGACAACGAACAGGTCCTTTTGGACAGAAGAAAGAAGGCAAAGCTGGCTGCACCATGCTTTCCACATCCGATTTTCCCATCATGAATCACCAAATTCCAACAGAGGCAGTGGGTGGGGCCTCCAGCAAGCAGACCTTCCACGTGAGGACTAAGTATTAATCTACTGGAGTGCCATTGGTCCCGGCTCAGCAAGGGCGCTCTGGAGAGCTTTCCTACTCTCTAAGACGCCCCACTTTATTTCCGCCCCACCCCCCCATCACCCTTCTATGAACCCCTCACTCCATGTTACTTCTCCCTTGCTCAGGAAGCCAATTCTGACTTCCCTACTAGAAGTTTTCTTTTGCTCGGGTCTTTGCAAAGTGATCACCAAGCTAAGGTTTAATTCCAAACTTGGTCAGCACACATTCACAGTATCTTCACTGCAGGCAATGTGCCTGAGCTTGGGATCATCACGGTTCCTACCTTGATCAGTTCTGCATTTTACGGTGAGCGTGGTCTGGAACTGTGATAGATTTTCACAGACCAAACACCAATTTCAGTATCTCACACTCAGAATTTCCAGAGAGAAAAAAATAAGCCAAAAGGGCATCTTCAGGACACACCTATGGGGACACTGGAGATCCCTCAAATCCCTCCAATGATTTTCCAGTGGAGAGCTCTAGGCAGAGCTTGGAAGGAGCATGAAAGAGGCTGGCACCGCATCTTATTTGCAAGCATTCTCGTTGGTTTCATGTAACAGTTCAGAATAGTAAAAAGGTTGACTTGAAAACTTTTAAAATGGAACTATGCAGAGCAGAGAATGCTCAAGTTTATTTGGCCAGGAAAAATTACATTTAATGCCCATAACAGGGGAGAAAAGGGTGTAATTTGATTAGAGTTGTGTAATAAGTTTGAGGGTCAGAGCTTTTAGAATTATCTGCATCTCATCTAAAGAATATGGATTTCTTTTTTTGAACCATAATAACTGTGAGGCTCATGCACCATTAAATGTTAGGGGATTCAAGATAATAAGGGAAGAAAGATTTCTATTCACAGACATATTTTCATCTTTGAAAAATATTTATATATATTTATATAGGTAATATATTTTTATAAAATATATAAATATACATATTTTCTATATTTATAAATATATAAAATGCATATTTATAAACACATTTTTATATATTATATATATATATATAAATATATATATATTTAAGACAAAAACATGTCTGTGAAGGAACGGAGAGGTGAAGGAAGATCTTTCTTACATGAGCACGGGTGTGTGTGCGCACACACACAGAGTTTGAGAAAACTAATGTGAAAAGGAAAGAGGAGTAAAAACATACAGATGAAGCCAAGTTGTTGTTGTTTTAATTAAAAAGCACCTGGGGAATAACAGACAATTCCTTGTTAGCAATAAAAATATCAGTATATAGCACGAAAAAAAGCCCAGGAGAACCTATATTATAGAAAGAACTGATTAGTGAGAAGGGCTTTAAAAAAAGAGAGAGATAAGAATAGCAAGTAAATTAAATCTTAAATCTAACTTCTAAGGATAACCTGTTTTTCCCTGAGAGGTCTGGATCCAGGGGCATCCCTGGCAGCCCATGAATTTCTCCCTGTTCCCGGAACTCTGCAGACCCGCATGGTAGCACTGGTCAGTCTGCCGGACATCGGGCCTTCACCGCGGGTCTCTTCACTAGGTTGTCCCTGAGGATAAACCGTATTTTAAAACATTGTTTACAAAATGTGGCCCATGATACATTAATGGGGCACGCAGTCAGTGTAATGGGTCGCAAGCAGCACTGCCTGCATGGAACGGACGAGAGCCAAATAGAACAGCTTAGAAAGCATCTGTACTAAAGTAATATTTTGTGAGATGTGTGTGTGAGTACGCCTGCGTGTCGGTGTACGGTGGATCACAAAGTAACATGCACTTCTTACTGGGGATCTGGGTCCAAAACGGGTAGTAAACACTGTTCTAGAGCAATGGTTTCCATTTTCTTCCTTCTCGTCACTGCTGAAGGATAAAGCCCTTTCCCAGCTGTAACGGAGGACTCCCTCAATGTGAGCCCCAATTCACAGGGGAGGGACCATGCTTGGGGATGGGGGTTAATGAGGCAGGAGCCATGGCAAAATGGAGCAGGGAGCTGGATACGTGTTTCTGGTGACTCTGAAACAATGCCCCCCACTTTTTTTTTAACTCTTTATTTTGTACTGGAGTATAATGATTAACAATGCTGCGTTAGTTTCAGGTGCACAGCAAAGTGATTCAGTTATACATATACATGTATCTATTCTTTTGCAAATTCTTTTCCCATTTAGGTTGTTACATAATATTGAGCAGAGTTCCCTGTGCCGTACACTAGGTCCTTGTTGGTTATCCATTTGAAATATAGCAGCGGTGTGTACACATCAATCCCAAACAATCCCTTTTGATGCTTCTGATATGCCATTTCCACGGATGTTTCCAACACCACCCACCCTCTTCCGTTCCCTCACCCATATGGTACCCACTGTATGCCAGGCACCATGGGGGTACATTAGTGAATACAGAACAATACAATAAGGCAACTGCTCTCTTGAAGCTTGGATTCTGGAGGGGGAAGGAGACGGTAAGTAAGTCAAGAAATAAATAAGCAAGATTATGACAGACTGTACTGCCTGCTGTGAAGGAAATAAAGAGAACTGTGAGTTGGAAGACAGGAACTTGCTGCTGTGTGAAAAATAAAAGGGTTGGGAGTGGAAGAGGACCTGCCGGGATCTGTGATGAGCTGATGCCACAGCCCAGGCCCGACGTGCCCAGGTGGCAGCAGTGACATAGAAGAGAGGGCACCTTCGGGATGTAATCTGGAGAAGCAATGGGACCTGGCGATGGATTAGAAGTGGCAGGTAAAGAAAAGAGAAGAATAATGGTTTGATTTGAGTAACTAGGTCAAAGTTTGGGAGGCAGGGAGAAATCCAGTGCTCAGGTGAACATACAACCCTTGAGTCTTTGTATTAAGACCTACTGATTAAGGTACTTGAAGGAACTTGCTGGACATAGGCCACTCCCTTCACTCTGCTGTCCCCTCACTGACCCCAAACTTTATAGCAAAAGCTTACAAACACAGAAAGGTAGATCTGAGGTGGTCTCGCTTTAGAGGTTTAACATTAACTGATTCTTCTAGAGCAGGCACTGGTAAACATTTTCTTAAGGGATCAGAGTAACTATTTTAGTCTTTGTTGGGAATTCTCTGGTGGTCCAGTGGTTAGGAGTTGGCACTTCCACAGCAGGGGGCACGGGTTCAATTCCTGGTCGGGGAACTAAGATCCCACGAGCCACACGACGCAGCCAAAGAAAAAAAATTTTTCTTTAGTCTTTGTAGGCCACAAGATCCCTGTTGCAACTATACACCTCTGCCGTTGCAGAACAAAAGCAACCACGGATGTAAATGAACAGACATGGCTGTGCTTCCATAGTATTTTATTTACAAGAACACAGGCCACTGTTGGCTTGGTCCCTCTCTACAGCTTCTGCACTTGAACCCAGGGTTCAGACTCAAAGCTCCTGTAGTTTGGGAACCTAAAACCAGGTAAGGGGAGTCTTCAGGCGCTAAGAGAGTTGGGCTGGGTCCTGTGGAACTGGGGAGGGGATGCCAATGATGATCTAAGTCAAGTGCTCCAAGGCAGGAAAGGGGCCCATCTGCAGGGATGCGGGAGGGAAGAGGTACGGACGCTCACTGGAGTAAGTATGCCCATCAGCGATGAGTACACGTGCTAGTATTTGTTGAGCTGCACCTAATACCACTGCTTCTGAAAGTCAATGTGTATGTCCAGTTCACTTTCCCTCCCTGGGTCTCAAGTTTCTCATCTATAAATTAGGTGGTCGGACTAAATCATCCCACGGGCTCCTAACTCCATGCTTTGAGAATGTGTTACTACAGATTACTTAGTATACACGTACCTTCAATTCCCCATCTCCTTCCTAGCTTCCCAACACTGCCATTTTTCTGTTCTGGGCACTTTGGGCAAGTTACTTAACTCCTCTGAACTTCAACTTCCTCATCTATAAAATGGGAGTGATATAATAATACCTGATTCACAAGACCGTTGCAAGGATTAAATGAGATAGTCCTATGCGTGGCACATAATAAAAGCTCCACGAACACTGCTCTCCTGATCATGATGGTAAAATATTAAATAGCCCGCTTTCCTTGACATCAAGCTCCAAAACACGCAGGCCCTGCCCTGTGAGGGGGAGTACTTGCCAAATTGTGAAATAATGCAAATTTCATCTTAAAAAAAAAAAAAAAATCACACATGGCTATTTGTTTTCCACTGTCTGATGGTACTTTCCTTGGTCCGAAGGAAGCATTTTATATCAGACGTACTAAGGTAGAAATGAAAGGATCAAAACAGAACAAAGCAGAGACGTGGGCACTGGAGTGATGCCAGGAGGGATACGAGGCTCTGAGGATGCTCCTTGCTTTGAGTCGCTTCCTTGTGCATCGAGGCCCCTGGGTGCCAGGACCCTGTGGCAACCCAGTACTTCCCAAGGGAGGTCCCTACCCTTCAGACCTTAAACCTGCCACCTCCTGAGTGGAGAGGCCCTACCCTCCACGCTGCCCTGCTACAGGGTGGGGAGACAGCTGACTTAGGGAATAACGCTGTCGTGCCTCATTTTGAAGCAGGCCACTTAACAACACCTGTAACCATGACGCAAGGCAGGGTCCTTTTTTTAGGGTGCAGAACCTCCAGAGGAAGACAAACAATACACAACTATAAAGGACAGCACAAGCTGGCCAATGCAGTGTAGGTTGGCAGAGGAGGGAAAGGATGAGTCCTGCGGGGCACAAAGGTGCTGAAACCTCGCACTTGTGCACATACACACACACAAGCACACAACACACACACACACACATATTCTGTCAGGCCAGCTCCTCCTATGGACCCACCCAATGCCCACACCCCTTCCAGCTACCCCCCCTACCCCAGGCTTCCCCCGCTAGAAACTGCAGCCCCTTGGAGACTGTGTTCTCCCGATCCCTCCTCTTACTTTCCCATCAAAGCCCCAGGACAGAGTCTGGCTTTCTGAGGTTCATGCTCCCTGGGACTGTCAACAGTGAGAGGCAAACACTCCTCACTGACTCTGACCAGTGAGGGGGCAAGAGGCAATGACAGGGCTTCCCAGGGAGAATTCCAGAATGCAACCCCACACATGGCTCCCAAGCAACAAAGGGATCCGCCTGTGTGGATCTTGTCTACACCACTACCCTACTGTGGTGTTACCAGGAATAAACCTCTTGTCATCTCTGACTGCCAGTTTCTTCACCTACGTACTAGAGGTAAAACAGGCTTCTCCCAGTCTTGTTGGGCTTAAAGGTGATAACATATAAAATGCACCTAACACCATACCCAGCGTGAAAAAGACACTTAATTTAATTCTACTTCCTGTCAAAGGAAGTCACAGGAGAAGTTGGGTGAAACTGGAAAAAGCAAATAAAACAAAGAAAAGTTATTCTAACAAGTGCCAGTAACGTCATACCACAACAAGATGCTTAGCAAGTGAGCGATTCCTAAAGGCCCTTTTTGTCCTAAAATTCTATAATTTATAATCTAAAAACATCAAGGGGGATTTTTAAAATTTAAAACTGTTAAGAAAAGGATCTGGGGAATTCCCTCGCAGTCCAGTGGTTAGGAATCCACGCTTCCAATGCAGGGGGCATGGGTTCGATCCCTGGTCAGGGAAGTAAGATCCCGCAAGTGGGTACAGCCAAAAAAAGAAAAGGATCTGAAAAATTAGCCAAATACATGAAACAGAGGAGGAGAGAGGGAAAAAGAACAAAACTGATCACAAAGAATTTTTTTCTAGATACATCATAAGAAAATAGACAACTACACCAGAAGAAAGATATTTTTAAAAAGAAATCACATCAGGCAGTTGGATTTCCCAAACTGTTTGCAGTGTTTTAAATGTCCCACTTTGCTTTCTAAATAGTTTTTTTGTTTGTTTGTTTTCCAAAAGCAGAAGGAGGAATGGAAAAGAGATATTACATACCTGGTCCAGACAGGAATCCCTCTCTCAAGACCCTGGCCTGGTGGGCCTCAGTCTAGCTTCATTCCGGGGAGCGGCCCTGCAGGCGGGGAGGGCAGCCCCGGCACCTGGAGGACCAGCCCAGCTTGTGGGCATCGGGAGCTGGACACAGAGCCCCTGAGATTCACAGCCTCTGACTATTTCGAACTCACTAACATTGCATCTTCTGAGTATCAGATACACAAATCTCCTCCAGTCCCGCAATCATCTTGCTATTACTTTACAGATGTATTCTAAAAGCTAGGAAGGCGGAAATCAAGATGAACATGTCACTTGTACAATATTCAGACACATGAGCTCTATAATGAGGCTTTTCCACAAGCGTGCCTCGGCTGTCTCTGCAAGCGTCCCTCCCTTCACCAAGCATCCATGGAGAAGGGGACGAGGGAATGCAGGTGGCACAGGTGGGGAAGGAACTTTTTAGGCACGAGGAAAATGCTTCACCTCTAGTGGAGAAGCTGGACAGATTGTGTGTGTGTTTAATCGGTGCAGGAAAAGTCAATCATTTCCTTGCATTAACACCTAAATAAAACCAAAATGGCCCCAAGATCTGCCTAAAACCAAATTGATCTCTAGAACAAACCTGGCAGGTGAAGCTGGGTCGGGGTGGGAATGGCAGAAGGACACCAGTTGA